ATCTAGTTAGTTAGTTATTACAGTTAGTAGATTTGTTATTAGTTTGTTAGTTTGTTACAGATCATAACAGATCATCAGTTACTGTATTTGTATATATATGAGCTTTACTCATACATTCATTTTAATGAAAATAAGTTTACTATTTTCCACATGGTATCAAAGCTAATAAGCTCTAACGAGCATTGATTCTTGGATTCAATGGCTGATCCTCTTGCTTCAGTTTCTTCATCTTCTTCAACTATCTTGCCTCCAAATCTGATACTTCTCATTTCCAATCTATCCTCATTTGTAACAGTGAAGCTTGATGTTTCAAATTTTCTGATTTGGAGAAATCAAATCCAAAATATGTTAAGAGCCACTGGTTTGATTGGATATGTCGATGGATTGATTCCATGTCCACCAGCACAGATCAAGGACTCTTCTGGATCTGACGTCTCTAATCCCACACGAGTTCAGTGGGATCTCATAGATGCACATTTGTTCAGTTGTCTTACGGCAACCCTGTCTTCTCCAATCTATTCCACTGTTGTACAGTTTCAACACTGTTATGAAGTCTGGAATGCCTTAATCAAGAGATTCACCATTCTTTCTCGGTCACATATTCATCAACTCAAAAATAAATTGAATACTGTGTCCAAGAAAGATGCATCCATGGAGGAGTATTTGACTCAGATCAAGGAATTGTCAAATCAATTAGCGCTCGCATTTGCTGTAATTGAAGATGAAGATCTTGTGTTAATCACATTGAATGGCCTTCCCGAAGAGTATGACTCCTTTAAGACTGCAATTCGAGCATGATCAAAAGGCATTTCCAAGGATGAATTGTGTGCCTTGCTTTGTTCCGAATCAATTCATGTTGAACTCAAAACACAAAAATCATCTCCTATTGAGCAACCTAATGTTGCTTTCTCTGCTGCTCGAGGCTTTCATTCAAATCAGACTGGTTCTTCTGGTTATTCTTGTGGTTCACAAGGTCGGTTTTTCTCTAAAGGAGGTAGAGGAGGTCGGTTTTCTCAGCAATCCCATGGTCGATTCTTTTCCAGAGGTAGAGGGCGTAATGGATCTGTTTGTCAAATTTGTGGTGTTTTTGGTCACATAGCATTTGACTGCTGGCATCGGTTGGATGCTCAATATCAACCTCCTGGTCAATCTTCGTCCCAGTCTGTTGTGTCTAGTTCTAAAGCTTTTGTGGCTTCTTCTTCTCATCCAACTTCATCCATTTCTTCCTCCTCTTCCTCTGTCATGCCTTGGTATTTGGATTCGGCTGCCACTGATCATATGACCAATGATTTGAACAATTTCAATATCTATCAAGACTATCCAGGTATTGATCGTATTACTGTTGGTAATGGCCAGTCTGTTCCTATTCATCACACTGGTCAAGGTATTTTACCTACACCTCATTTCTCTTTTCGTCTCAATCATATCTTGCATTCTCCTGCTCTTTCCTCTAATCTTCTCTCAGTTCATCAACTTGCCAAAGATAATGATTGCAACATTATTTTTGATGCTTCTTCTTTTCTGATTCAGGACAAGAAAACGAAGAGAATTCTTCACCAAGGTTTCCACACTAATGGCTTATATCATTTTCAGTCTCCTCTGCATTCACCTCATTCATCTGCTGTGTATCATGCTAATTTTCATGCATATGCTTCCATTAAGAATGTTTCTGCTGTGCCTCATGTTCCTGCTTCCAATAAGAATGTTTCTGCTGTGCCTCAAGCTAATTTTCATGCTTTCAATAAAGATGTTTCTGCCGAAATGTGGCATCATAGATTAGGCCATCCTTCTTCTCAGAAATTTTCTGCTCAACAAAAGCATTTTTCTTGTAAACCTATGAAGCCTACTGCTATTGATTGTTCCGAATGTTGCATTGCTAAAAGCCATATATTGCCATTTCAATTGTCAAATTCAACTGTCAAACAACCTTTGTCTTTAATTCATAGTGATGTTTGGGGTCCTTTTAATAAATCTACATCTGGCTTCAAGTTTTATGTAATTTTTGTGAATGATTTTAGCCGCTTTACTTGGCTCTATCCTTTAGCTTACAAAAGTGAGGTCTTTGCTAAATTTGTTGATTTCAAATCTTATGTTGAAAAGGAATTTTCTACTTCTCTTCAAGTTCTTCGCACTGATGGTGGTACAGAATATTTCAATAATAAAATGCAAGCTTTTCTGTTAAATCATGGGATTGTTCATCAACATTCCTGTCCCTACACCTCCGCTCAGAATGGTGTGGCTGAGCACAAGCATAGACACATTATTGAAACTACCATTGCTTTGCTTCATCATGCTTCTCTTCCATTACATTTTTGGTTTGATGCAGTTGCTACTGCTACTTTTCTTATTAATTGAATGCCTTCTTCTATTCTGGCTAATAAATCTCCTTATGAAATGTTGTTTCATGCTATTCCAGATTATTTTTTTCTTAGAGTATTTGGCTGTCAATGTTTTCCTTGGCTTCAACCATATAGTTCATCTAAACTACATCCTAGATATGTGCCTTGTGTATTTTTGGGATATCATCCATTTGCTAAGGGATATAGATGCTTTGATCCAAAATCTGGAAAACAATATTTGTCTCGTCATGTGATTTTTCATGAGCATATTTTTCCTTTCTCTATGAATTATATTTCTTCTTCTTGTCCTGCTTTATCTCAACCTTCCTCCTTGAAAGATATTCAGACTTTCTTTTAGGCTTCTCCACCTATTCATCAGTGTTCTTGTGCACCAGCTACAGTTTCCTCTTCCCAGCATTCCACTCAGTCTCTGATTCCAGTGCTGCTAGCTCTGTCTTCTCTGTCTGCTGCTCAGTCTCCACTTCCAGTGCTGTCGTTTACTGCTGCTCTGCCTCCATCTGATTTACCTTCTTCTTCTCTATTACCTCAGATTCCAGCTACAGGTTTACCTTCTCAGTCTCCGACTACAGGTTTACCTGTTGCTGTCTTGCCTTCTGCTACTGTCTTGCCTTCTGAGCCTCAGTCTCCAGCTACAGGTTTCCCTGCTGCAGTCTTGCCTTCTGCTATTGTCTTGACTTCTGTGGCTATATTCTTCTCAACCCAGCCTACTACCTCTACTATACATTCCTATCCTATTCACTCCTTACACATTGACCTTCCACCTCTTCCACCTTTTTCATCTACTAATCTTCATCCTATGATCACTCGGTCCAAATCTTCTGGCCCCTCTACTTCACTCAGTATTTCTTCTTCTTTATATACTAATTCTGAACCTCCTACTTACCAAGCTGCTCTTACCTCTCCTGTTTGGTTTAAGGCTATGCAAGAAGAGTTTGGATCTTTGCAAAAGCAGAACACCTGGTCCTTAGTTCCCTTGCCTTCTCATAAACATCAAATTGGGTGTAAATGGGTCTTCAAGATTAAACGCAACTCTAATGGTTCAATTGCTCGATATAAGGCCCGTCTTGTTGCCAAAGGATACCTCCAACAAGAAGGTATTGATTTTCAGAAGACTTTCAGTCCTGTTGCTAAGCTTCCTACAATTCGGATTATTCTTTGTCTTGCCTTACATAATCACTGGCCTCTCAAACAGTTGGACATATCCAATGCTTTCCTTCATGGTAAGCTTGAAGAAGAGGTTTTCATGACCCAACCTCCTGGTTTTGTTGATTCTTCCTCTCCTACTCATGTGTGTAAGCTTCATAACGCCTTGTATGGGCTTAAACAAGCCCCCCCGTGCTTGGTATTTTACATTTTCTACCTTCTTACTTTCTCAAGGTTTTCATAATAGTCATTGTGATTCCTCTCTTTTCATTCACAAAACCCCTCATTCCATTACCATTTTAGTGGTTTATGTTGATGATATCTTGCTTACTGGCAGTGATCCTTCTCATATTCAAACCTTAGTTACTCAAATGCATCTTGTTTTCTCTATGAAAGAGTTAGGCAATTTGTCTTATTTTCTTGGGATCTCTGTTCACACCTCTGATACACATTATTTCCTTTCTCAACATAAATATGCTCAAGAGATCTTTCACAAAGCTAGGATGGATGATTGTAAGCCTTGCCCATCTCCTATTTCAGTTAAACTTGGTCTCTTCCCTACTTCTAATTTTCCTTTTGCTAATCCTTCTCTCTATCATACTCTTGTTGGGGCTTTACAATACTTAACCATCACTCGTCCTGACCTCTCTTTGGCTGTCAACCAAGCTTGCCAGCACATGCATGCACCTACCAATGGTGATTTCTCTACTGTTAAACGTTTGCTTCGCTTTGTTAAGGGTACCCTCTCTCATGGTCGTACCTATACCCCAAGCACTTTTGATCTTCTTGTTTTTTCTGATTCCAATTGGGTAGGCGACACTATTGATCGTAAGTTCACATCTGGGTATTGTGTTTTTTTGGGTTCCAATCTCGTTTCTTGGTCTGCCAAGAAACAGGCCACTGTCTCTCGTTCCTCCACCGAGGCTGAATATCGAGCCTTAGCCCATGCTGCTGCTGAAGTTAGTTGGCTCCGTATGTTACTTGCTGACTTGTTTGTCCCTTCTCCTACTGTGCCTGTGATCTGGTGCGATAATCTGTCTGCTCTTGCTTTGGCCTCCAACCCGGTGTTTCATTCCCGGTCCAAGCATATAGAGGTCGATTGCCATTTTGTTCGGGAACAAGTGCTTGCTAAACGGCTTTCTCTTCATTATGTTCCCACCATTGATCAGTTGGCCAACATTTTCACCAAACCATTGTCTGTCTCTCGGTTTCAGTATCTTAAAGACAAACTCATGGTGTCTTCCCCCATGGGTTTGCAAGGGCATGTTAAAGCAACCTCTATTGCAGAAAATATCTAGTTAGTTAGTTATTATAGTTAGTAGATTTGTTATTAGTTTGTTAGTTTGTTACAGATCATAACAGATCATCAGTTACTGTATTTGTATATATATGAGCTTTACTCATACATTCATTTTAATGAAAATAAGTTTACTGTTTTCCACAAAATTCAGCTCATAATGCCTCGCTAACGTATAAAATTTCATCCAAGATAGGTTCCTCAATGGCACTCCCATCCGGTAGTTTAATGCATTACCATAACCCTTTAATATGAACAGCTCCAAATCATCTGTCCACTCCAGTAAAACAACCTAAAAATGTTTATATTTGGCAAGTTAGCAAGTGCACAATGAGCAAGAAACAAAGCATGAACTGATAACATACACAATTTGCACTTATCAGTGCATAACATATACAGGAACAATAGATCCCATGGTATGTAAGTACCAAAGCTACATACCTCAGATGGAGTGAACAGAGCACAAGCTTGATCAGTTATATTCAATAAGGATGCTTCCTGCCAAATTGAAAATTCAAACGAACAATTACAAAGGAATCGCAATCACATAGACTGTTTAGAATTCTCAGAGAAAGAAAGAAAATGAAAGAGAAGAAAGGAAAGGAAAGAAACAATCACCTGTTTGTACAAAAACCAGAGAGAAGATGTATCTTGTCTTGTAAAATTCAAATTATAACGCCTCACTAATGCATGGGTAATTTCATCCAAGGCAGGTTCCTTAAGCTTAAGAACAGTAGGCTCCTGACTTTTTCTATAGGCCTGCAGTCAGAGATATACACAATAAAACCAAAGAAGTATCATGTGTTGTAAAATTTGTTAAAGCAACCTCTATTGCAGAAAATATCTAGTTAGTTAGTTATTACAGTTAGTAGATTTGTTATTAGTTTGTTAGTTTGTTACAGATCATAACAGATCATCAGTTACTGTATTTGTATATATGTGAGCTTTACTCATACATTCATTTTAATGAAAATAAGTTTACTGTTTTCCACAAAATTCAGCTCATAATGCCTCGCTAACGCATAAAATTTCATCCAAGATAGGTTCCTTAAGCTTATTATCCAGCAGTATAAAGTTTAATTTCAATTTCCTCGTACAAAATGCATAAAGATCCGAACAAAAAGGAATCACCCAAAAACTTAAGGTTTACTTCCCTTTTAAATGTCAATACATGTTTATTTGGTAAGTAAGGTACCCACCAAATAACTATGTTAGAACCAATATATTAAGGGTAAACCATCTATAATAATGAGAGAAGCTTGAAAAGACATTTGAAGGTAATTAAGTAACCAAAACATATAGTTGTGGTTTTTGAGAGTTTACCAATTCCAATTTGTTAACATGGATGCATTACCCACTTCTTAATAAGCTTATACATCTGGGTGTCAGCATGCAACTTAATAGAAAAATAAGGCTGTATTTAGAGTACAAGGCTCCAACTTACGAAGCTGATTCCCATGGGTTTATGCCACCAGCGTGCCACGACATCTAAGCATGCAGTTTAATACCACTATTTTTTTACCACGACCAGTAGTAAATCAAGTAATTCAATGGTTTCCAACAAGGATTTAAAATATCCATCATCATGTGATTTGAAATCAGCAGCATGAAAAAATCAAATGAAAAGCTTTAAAAAGACAGTAGGACTCTGCTACGTACTTAATGATAGTACCAAGCCATATGTATGACAACTCAGGTCAGTGTCAAATGATAACCTCACATACAGTAACCAAGAACTCTTTTTGAGGAAACTCTTTACCTAGTTGCCTCCATGTTTTCATGAGCATTCAATAGATGTCATAAGTTACTAGAGTTCAAGCATCCAAATTGAAAATTAAAAAAGAAAACCTCAACTACATAAGACTGAGAGAAAATATGTCAATGTGTGTAACTATGTGTAATTCTTTAGGTATAAACTATGCTGAGATGTACCTTGTAGTTCTGACAACAATCATGGAATCTTAGCAATATATCACTTGCACGGCTTTCACTGGTTACTGCAAAAGCTCAATTGTGCCCTGGTCCAAGGTTTCCCCTCCCACTTAACAACCCCATGCCAAATGCTACAACACTAGCTGATGCCCGAGGAATCCATTTCATGATTCATGGCAAAGAAAAAGAGATGTATAAGAATAATCAATTCTAAAGCAACGGAAAATTTTATTTAAAAATGTACTCTGGCTCGATCCACCAGACACGAACTCAACTCTCGCTCGAGCGACCAACTCCTCGCTCGAGCGAAGGTCCAAAAATCTGGGCAGCAGCACTAGGCTCCCAAACACAACCAACCTGTAACAAACCTGCCCAACACATCCTATAACTCAATATACAAAGTAAAGAGGATACAAACAAGATAATAAACAACTACCAACATCCATGGACACATGTCCGGATCACTGTACAACAAGGGTAAACCCGGGATCGCTATACAATCAGCCTTTTAATGGATCGAAACAATTTCAGGGGAAACTTGATCTAAACAGCATTTATGGTAATGAGGCAACAGATAGAACAATTGGCTGAAACCTGCAATGAATTATCATCACTTAAGCCAGCTATTTGCAAAAGTGAATAGAAGGAAAAGTAGAATGTGGCCCACCTGAGTTGCCCTTATTGCATACACATTCGGGTGGTAATCCTCATTAAACAGTTGTGGAAACTTGTCTCTGGTTCTGATCCCCAGATTATACAGTTCATCTTCTCCTTCACTAATTAATTCACCACCCTTGAGCTTCCCTTGCCAAGGAGATTTCCATCCCCGAAACCAGGCAGGAACTTTCTGCAAAGCCAACTTCTGCTCTTTTGCATCTTGTAGAAGAATTTCCATATGCAAGGCTAAATCATTTAACATTTCCTTGGTTGGAGCACGAGTTCCGTGCCTCACTTGGGATACCAAAATTTTGACTAATGAAAAGTATACTTTTTTATAGAACACTCAGTATAACACAACATTGCAATCTGAACATAGCACAAACAATAGAAACCATAATGGCAGCATTGGAAGACTCTGTAGAAACCTTGACAAAAATATGCAAGGAACAAGATGTTTTCGCAAATTGCATAAACACAAACCAAACAATTTTTAGCTTTCCAACAAAGTCGTGGCCAATTTTCAAGTGTCCAAAACATAGACATACATATTTTTTAAAATGTCCAGAGCATACATGCTAGCTAAGAAAACAATTGTAACAAGTAGCGCATTTTGACTGACCACTTGCTTCTACTTGAGAATTGTAGCAAACGTAAGAGCTCCAATAAAACATAAAATTTGCCTTTCAAAGCAGGATGAAACCGAAAAATCTATAAGGGAAAATTTACTCTAGAGGAATTTAGGACTGTTATTCTACTTTAGTTTTTCTGGAGGCTTTTTCCTTTTTTATTTGTTCTGCCCTTCTTTTTATATCTTTCTTTATTGGGAAATCTCTATGTTCTTTGCATTAGTTTCTTTCTCTCAAAAAGATTTGCGGAAAAGAATTACTACACACACATGCACTTGAGAATTACTACACACAAGTGTTAGCTAAACAACACGTCACAAATTTAAACCCCTCAACTCAAAATGCTAAGCACAAACACAGCTCTTAAAGAAAATGATCGAAGGTGATTCTGAACAAACACATGGAATTCAGAATGAGTCTCAGCCTACTTGGAAAGACTCATGTGGCTCTACATCCATATGAAGAATGGGTTCATTGTTGAAATATAGATTTAATATGTTAAAGGTCACAAGAAATCCAAACTTAAGTCTTTTATTTTTTTGTTTTTTTCTTTGATGAAACAAATTTATGTCATACTTTGATATGCAACTGCTAGATAATTGTCCTTTACAGCTTCTCGCCCAGAGGTTCCAAAATTCTAGATTATGCAGTTCTTGGTTAGTCAATGGTAGAAAACAGTACAAGTATTCTCAAAGCAACAACCACAACTAAAATATTTTTGATACACCGTCTGATTTGAGCATCAATCATTGGGCCTATGAATGAAAACTTCAACAAACATAACCTATTTGCTCAAATACCTAAGATTGATATATTCTCAAAACATCAAGCATGTAAAGACTTTGTTTAGTACACCCCTTGATGTCAGCATCAGTATGGCCACAAAAATCTCACCTTAGTGGCACGTCTACAATAACTAGAATAAATTCCGATATGATGGAACAAACAAAAACAAGAAAGTAAGACCAGCAATCACACAAGAACACAAAGACATATGTGGTTCGGCTACAAGCCTATATCCACAGGCAAAGAATGGCTGAGGGTTTACAATCAAAAGGAGGAGAAAATACAAGGGTGGATTTCTCTCTCAAAGCTGATTGTAACAATGGATTACTCTAATTTCATAACCCTAATCCCTGAAATAACCCATAATTTATATATATACACACTAAGATCTGCATACAACAAGAACCAGATCTGACCTAGTGGAATCGGGTCGAGACATCCCTAACAAATTCATCCGACATTATTATATGAAACCCACATTGCTTAACAAAATAGGATACAAGGTGCTATAACTACTTTTCAATTGACCTGGATATGCACAAAGTCAAACTATATCATCATATAAATTATTTGCAAAAGCAGTTTGAACTTCTAAAATGAGAATTACCACAAGATTCAAATGGATAGGAGTACATTGGTCTGGAATGTTAGAAGGTACAAACGAATTGTCAGTTATGTTGTTGACAACACCATACCTGCCAAGCCAAAAGAATTTAATAAAAACAAGTAATATCATTCAAACATTTCCATTAATCAGATAATAATAATAATTTTTTAAAAAAACATCTGTTTAGTGTGACGTTTTCTTATCTTCTTCGGATACGTTTATACACAATAATTCCTATAAAACACAAACGACTATAGAGTCTAAAATAAATTGATCAATATATATATTTTTTTGTGTGTTCAAAACAATAAGCTGGATTTTTATTTTGAAATCTTCTTTATTTGGGGACCAAGAAAACAAAAATCATCTATTATTCCAAATACAAGTTTCAAAGTAGTCTCAATTTTTTTAGTAACCAAACAATGAGTTCAAAATCTTGCTTGTCAAGCTTTCGGGATCTTAAATTGATTTGCCGCAACCAAGCCCTAAACCCTAAAATGTGATTATAGCATTCGACCGTGCAACTGGTAATGTAAGAAAAATCGATAAAACCAAGCCGACCAATCGAAACCGACCGAAATTTTAGTTTTCGGTCGATTTTTCATAACATACGATCTGTTTCGGTTTTGAAATTTTTTATACTGACACAAACTGAACCAATCGAATATTATATTTAAATATATTTATATTATAATTTCTTGAACATTATACGAGAAGTAACTAATATATAAGGGTGTAATTTTGCCCCGGCCCGGCCCATGTCGGGCCTTACGGGCTCCCGCCAAAAATTGGGCCAAGCCGGGCCACGGGCCAAAAAACTAGGCCCACGGGTGTTCGGGCTTTGGTCGAGCCGCTGGGCCTGGGCTTTGGTCGAGCCGCTGGGCCTGGGCTTTGGGCAGGCCTAAACAAATTTTTTTATTTTTTTCATCAAAATTTTATTATTTTCCATTAGAAATAACACTGGGCCTTGGACAGGCCGGGCTTTTGAGTGGGCCTTGAGGGGGCCAATGTGCTGGGTCACGGGCCGGGTCGAGCTTCAAAATTTTTTATACTGACACAAACTGAACCAATCAAAT